GTTTTGCTTTGTTAACTTTGAACCATATTATTCTGAAAGAGTTAAGGGCACTTAACACCATTGAAATTATATATAATATTTGAATGACAATTGTTATTGACAAATTATTTAAAGTAGCGAAGTCTCTAACTCAATATCATCCAAAATCTTCAACATTGAAAACACAAATTATTTGTCAATTTAAATCAACATTGATGCTGTGATCTTAGCGGAAAAAGATGGGCTTCTGATATCCAATATTTAAGACAAAATAAACATTTTGCCATTGGTACACGAATCGTGTACCATAATGCGTTTCAGCCCCAGTTCTAGCAAGAGACTCGAGGAACGAGGCTAGACATATTGCACCAAACCAAACGGCGTATGTAGACTGGAATAACCAGACGCTAGAAATTTGCATTCGATTGAGACTGCGGGCTTATTTCGCGGAACATAACTGATTTGAAATTAGAGTAAAAACGGAAACCATTGAATGTATATCAGTTTATATACATTCATATTACAGTATTATATGAGTTGCGACGCACTTGTGTCAATTTCTAGGTCCCAAATGTTAGCGATTTAGCTCCTTTTGTTCAGTGGTCTTTTACATAGACATATTTTAAGATAACCCTAACTCTACCCAGTAGCTTAAGTTAAACTGTTATAGCTCATGTGAGTATGGACATTGTATGCCTACATATTCTACAGTTAACCTCTCATCAGGCCCGTGCCAAAGGTGGTGGTGGGGTATAGTTCAAAAGTAGTTCAAAAGTTCTTGCCTTCACTATCAAAAAGAATGACTCTAATAATGTTCTTCTCTGTTATTCAAATTCCACACCCTTACCCCCATCAACTGCATAGATGACACGGGCCCTGTCACTACCCCAATTCGACAGCGCCCACCGCCACACACACACAAACAAAAATTACCCCAAAACAATTTACGCTTGTTGTCTTAGCTTATCTCTGTTATACACCATCAAAAGATTATAAGAAAGTTAAAATTAAACTATCAAAATGAATTACAAAATAGGTGAAAGAAAGTTAAAATTAAACTATCAAAATGAATTACAAAATAGGTGAAAGAAAGTTAAAATTAAAATTGTTTAGACTAGTATAAATTACAAAATAACACCCAAGATATGTTATCTTATATTTAACAAATATAAAAATACCTCTTACTTATATAAAATAGAAAACAAAAACTCCACCCAGTACATCTTATAATTACGAGCAGATTTTATTTTATTAAAAATTTGAAAAAGTAATTTCAGTAATGGCAAACACACCACCCCACCCCCATCATCATTTACAATGAAAACAGCAACAGCGGGTTTCCGTGAAATGATTTTTGACAGATGTCAGTTTAGTGTTAACCAGTTTGCTGATAGGGATTGGGTTTGAGTCTACAATAATACCAGATGCCTACTTACTTATTTACCTAGCTCAGGTAATATTTCCACGTATTAATATCAAATTTATACCCACAGTTTTCTGATGGAAAATAACCCTGAGCTGAATCCTATCAACAGAACTATTATTGGGCTGGACAGGTGCTACAAAGTGAACATCTAAAGAAACCAAAAGCTCGACTGTTCCAGGGATAAATCTATGTTGGTGGGCCAATATGAAATGTATATGTATTTTGCTTTCTGATATAAATGTAGTACAATATAAGTAAAACGATGACTGCTGGCCTAGGTGCCAAAACTTATAGGACAAGAAAAACACATCGCTATAATAATACGTTACGAAACAAGACTCACGTTGAAACGTTTTAGATAGACCGATGTGAATATTTATCTTGGATGAGAACTTGTCGAGTAGAAAAGACAAAAAGCGTCACAGACACGTCATTTCCAGTACTCAAAAATATCCTATAAGCCTGAGATGTTGAAATACGCAACTATGTAATGTATATCCATTATATACTATTTATCACAGTTATTATATATCACCTGGTTGCGTACCTGTTGGTGTCTTTGTAGGTGGCGTTTGTGGACTACTGCTTTGAAAAAAATAATAGTGTTTTCTATCGGGATATCAGACGGATACAAATGGCAGGATGGTCTGACACAATCTTTTTCCTCCGAAAACACTTATTTTACTCTAACAGATTCAGTATGTATTTGGTTGTGGTTTACGTGTGCAATAGTTGGGCGGTGGTGGGGGCATCATCTTTAACTACACCGCCGATATCAACAACAAAAATTTCAGGTTTGAACAAAAGTCTATAGTTTCTTGCAAATGAAATGAAATGGGGTTTAACGTCCTACTGTTCTGCTCCAAACTAGGTTAATGAAGACGGGCATACGCCATACATTGTGCTATGAGGGAAATTTTGCCCGGACAGCGGCACTACATCCTACTCTTATATCGAATTCCAACTGTCAAGGGATCTTTTACGTGCACGCCAATGTGTACACGGGACCTCGGTTTTTCGTCCCATCCGAACGACTAGACAGCTGTCCTTGTCAGGCCATCCGTCCTGCATCACTGACAAGGGAGAACTTTCTCGGCCAATGCAGGGATCGAACACTCGACCTCCAGGCTAGCGAGCCAGCGTCTTACCCACTTAGCCACGTGATCCCCCATAGTTTCTTGCAATATCCGGTTATATTAATATATTCTTGATATATTTAGCCCTCAGATCATCTTTTACAGTTAGTAAATCAGTGATATTATCTAACAGGGGTCGTTCTTCATTCTAAAACCAATAAAAACATTGCAAATTTACTATAAAAATGTAAAATAATTTTTATATGAGCATATTAAAAAGATATCAGCTAATATCGGAACATCATCTGGATTACTTTTCTCGTAATACATTTTTGACGGTGGCTTTTTGCTATTTTCAGAGAATAAATCGCCGTAAAGAATAATGGCACGTGATCCTCTATGATGATACTCATAACTCTTGTTAAAATCCCGCCATTTTTCATCTCTGATATAATAGTCATAAATTGATACCGAGAAGCTGGAATGGCGAATTCGACTAGAAAATACAGATAAAAACAAATCGAATTTGGTCCTAGTACTACAGTCTTGGATTTCAATTATATTTAGGTCATAGGTCGTGCCTTTGTTTGACCTGATGTAATAAGAATATTGGTTATTGCAGTGTCTGTAATTTCACCTTCAAGTTTGTTGTAGTTATTAATACTATTGTAACCGATACCGGTTTGACATCATGGTTAATAAGATGAACTCTTCAGGGACGAAGGTAATGAAGTTAGCCCAACATTCGCTATTTTTATAAGTAAACTGTTAGTGAGGCAAGGTTCAAATAAATCAATCTTCGCGGAAACCTGAAATCTTTGACCCTGCATCATTCATTACCACTCAGCTTTTCTTATCAACTAAATGTCTTCAACATCATGAAGTAAGCCAGTATATCATTTCTAGGCGCGTGCCGGGAACACAACCTCGCTCCTAGCGCGTTCCAATCTCGAGACAGTCACGTGATTTTCCAGAAGTCAAATTGAAGATGAATGATAGGATTCTGGGAGGCAGAAGTCAAAACATGGAGTAGAAAATGGTGTTTAGTTCAGCAATAACTTTCGCTTCACGAGTTCTCAAGTCTTCTTAAGTTTGATCTACATCCTTATAATGTGACCACGTCGTAGATCTTTTTATTGGACTGTTAACGAGTCGCTTGAACGCTTTCGTTAATAGTTATAATGGACTAGAGGGAAAAAAATCTATTTGTCATGTTAAAAAAATAGATTTACAGTTTCTTTTAGCAAAAAATATATAAACTGTCACAATGAATCTTATACATGTATATTTGGAGACTGGTTAGAACTACAGGCAAGTACGGAACCGGGATCATGAAAAGAGCGAAAGCCATACTCCTCGCAGTGTTTTGTTTGATTAGAGCTAATTCCACTTAACACTGCTGTAAAGGAAGCAAATTTATGTTCCAAATTATGACTGGTCAAAAGTCCGATTAACAACCAATAGCTAACTGCTTAACAATAACATTACGCTTTAAACAGAGCTCCAAATTGGACCAAATATGTTTACATAACGTTATGTCATAACTCACGATTTTATTGTGCCCAATTAACCAGTGCATAGCAGAATATTACAGAAAAACTAATTGCGTGACAAACGAGGCTATCAATACGGATACAATGTAAACAATACTGTTTGGAGACGTTTTTAATACCTTAAATTACTGTCCAAAGTTTTAGGGAAGACCCCAGATTAAACGAAGGGCTGCCATGCTGCTGTTCTTGTGATAGATTTGAATGGACAGGAAGAATAGACACACTCCCTCTAAAGCTCAAGTATCAGAAGCCAATCCAGCAATGGCTAGAGAGGGATTTCTTGGGTCATTGCTTCAGGAATATGAGGAAAAGCACAAAATGGTCGTTATTGCTTAAGACATGGTTTGTGTAAAAAGCACTCCCGAGACCCCAGATCATATATCAACATGATGAACTAAACCTTGGCCCTAATCTGAAGAATCCGTTGGACCAAGGCGGATTGGCGTATTATACCAATGGACGGGCCGAGCAATTTTGCCAACTGGCAAACACAAATGGCAAAACATCTCCCTAGGCCAACAACTTTGAATCAACGCCAGTGTTTTGGGGGACGAAAAAAAACCCTAAATCAGAAAACAAAAAATATGTGGACACCAAGGCATCAACTGGTTACTGCTTTATCATACGAAAAGGATAGATTTTGTGATAAAAACACATGGATGAGATGGACAAGAAACTGAAACTATGGTCACAAGAATGGCAGCCATTGGCTAATTGACCAACAATTCACCTCGCATCTGCTTTTTTCACAGCTGTTGACCACATAATGATGTTTAAAACAACTGGTAATCACACCACACGTTGCTTCTAAATAAAAATAAATGTCTAAATTATATATTGGCCTATTATTAAACGATGTACAAATGAACAGATGTTGAATGTTCTTCGACCGAGCCAAATTCACCTTCAATCTTTATGTAAAATCATTTTTCAATCGGTAAGAAAAGACTAAAATATCCTCTCTGATACAATGTATTTGGGAGCAAAATACTGTATTTGACAACTAAACTGGTGATCGGCTGGTACTTATTCTACTGGATTTATAAGTTTCTAGTCTTCTGAAATTGACCAAAACAAAATATAAAACTGTTGAAAACATGTCCCATTTCCAATGATTTGGGATATAACCACCATGCCAATATTCGTAAAACGTTTCGTTCTGTTTGCCAGGTACATCACGTAGTGCCATCTCAGACATTTTAACTTCCCACGGTTAGCTAGGTTGGTTAGAATTCAGTTCAAGCATCAACTGAAAAACGAAATAAATAGAAAATAAAGGAAATTTTGGAATGTTTAGTCTCAGGGTTAACTTTTATCAAGTGGTGGCTCAGTGGAAAAGTCGCTGGCTCGCTAACCTGAACGTCCCGTATTCGATCCCTGTGTTGACCGAGAAAGTTCATCAGTATTTTTCCGGCGTGGTTCCTCCTTGCCAATGCTACAAGACGGCGGGCCTGGCAAAGGAACAACGTGTAATCGCTCGGATGGGACGAAACATCGAAGTCACATGAAAAATCCGTTGAAAGTTGGAATTCGAAATAAGAGTAGACCGTAGTGTGGCTGTGCGTGCAAAATGTCCCTCATAGCCCGTTTTCATTAGCCTAGTCGGAGCAGAATGGGTAATGGGTTCCTTGTTGGTGCCAAATACGCTTATGTCAGTTAAGTCTGCTATACATAAAGTTCAATGTCCCCATTTCCAACTTATGTTCTCTAACTTCATTGTGTATGTAAATTTAAATTGGAATTTAAAAAATGTCCTTGCATGTATTAAACAATCGCTATTAAACTAACTTTTCCCACAGATTTCATTGGAAATTGAATGAAATGGATAGAATATTTTTTAATATTAATATGTAGAAAATTAGTGCTATTTCTGTAGAGAAGGTGTTTGATTTTTAGATTTATTTCTAATTTAGATATTGGTATTAATATTTTGAATGTAACCGTGAATCTTTTTCTGAATAAAAATTATTATTTTATGAAAAACTAGATATTGAAATCGTTTTTTTTTAATCATCTTCCTGTCATATTTTCGATTTTCTATGAAACCTAGAAATGAATTATTTTGAGTTGTGCAAGGAATTGTATTTCTTTGATATTAGATAATATTTAAGTTTGATGGAAATTGAATTTGGTGTTTAAGAAAGACGATATGTAAATACGAAAGCCAACATTAATCTAAACACATGGCTGTATGTCAATATTATAGTTATTATCAATATTCTATCTGGACAAAACGAAACGAAATAGTATAAAAACATTGGATACGATATTATAGAATGCTAGCAGTTCTACCAAAAGGTGTATTAGGTTTCACACGTCTGTGTGAAAGAATAATACGTAAGCTATTGTTGTTGTACCGAAAAATTATTGTTCATTATTAAATAATATATCATGAAATTGTGTTGATTCTTTATTTCTAAAACATTTTTGCGTGTACAAATAATACCACTTTATTTGGGGAAGAACTCATACTCAACAGTGGAGGTGTTATTGAGATATATAGAGCAAAATTAAATAGGATCTTTATTTTAAAGTTCACTTTATAAGGTAGCAAGTAATATTAAAGCCCACGCGTGATTTAGCCGATAAGGGAATCCCTTACAATATGTAAATGTTACACTTTAATTTTTCTCGCTTCTTTTTTTTTTACTAAAAATCTGTAAACAAGATCAGTCTACATTTCTTCGAAGTTGAAGTTTCCTCTATTTTTCAATCTAGATCTTTAATCGCCAGTTACAAGTCTTATTACTCTCGAGCCTGCCTTTAATCCGAAAGCATCCAAGTCAGGAGATTATCTAGCGTTGGTATTTTGATTTATTAAAGATACATTATGGGAGATTCGATAAAGAGCTGGCAGTTCTCACTATAATAGTTAAAAACTAGATAATGTAAAGGGGAATTTGCTGAAAATTTCAGTCAAATTGATCCACTCTGAACCGAGATTTTAGCGATTGAATTGTCGACCTAGCCTCGATCATCATTTATGAGTCGGTACGATAAAAACATAGTCTCGATTATCCAGTTCATGATTAAAATAATGAATGGAAGTCGAGCAGCAATTCGGAACCTAATCCAATAAACATCGCAGGCTAGCGATGACATCCAGAGTTGATTATGGTCTTGATTAGTTAATTAAAGTCTAATTAAGAATTTAGATAACATTTCAGGCCTAGCTTTTGCATAATGTATGTTTAATTAAATATTAAATAATCTATCTGAGTACATATGCCTGGATTGAGGCGTGAGAAATTTCATATTTTCCGAAAAATACAAATCAAGCAGCTACTTTAAGATGCAAACAATAAAAATGAAAATCACCGGAAATGAACTCTGATATTCAGTGATATTTGAAAACATGACTGAACAGCGATATTATATTGGTTGATTATCTACTGCATTTCCGTTCACGCGTATTTGACTAGCTGCTGATAATTCTTAATGTGAGAAATAACTTAGCCTGTTATGATGTATATTAAATGTTAAAAAATCTTAATACCACATAATATCTAACCGAACATAATTCAATGTAACATACAAAATAATTAATCAATTTCATGTCAATCTCTTCTTTCTTTGATCATGCATGTAAAAAGATTTTTTTTATAATTAATAAAATTTGATTAAACGCAAACAGAATTTCGTTCTAGGTGTCTGCCATTTTGTAAATAACCAGTAAAACAAACAACAATTGGACGAGATTTAACGAGATTGTCCAATTATGTAGCTTGATATAAGCTCTATTCAGCGCTCGGGTTTTTGAAGGGATGTTTTTTTTTATTTTCGAAGAAATCGACCAATTTCTTATAATGAAATAAAACTATCCCCCTTAACAACTAAGCAAGACTGACTGGTTATTCATCAGAGATGAAACAAAAAGTCGATCAACTCTTTTATTTATAATTTTCGTAGAGGAGATTGAAATTGTGACCCGTCTGGATAACTCTTGTGAAACGATTCCCCAAATTTGTGTTTATATTATGTTTGCTTTCCAGTTAAATAAACAGCGTAGCGTCTCGCTATCCACTGCAACAAAGATCTAATCAAATTGGCAGGGAAAAATTAAGCCCGGGAAAAATTCATAGAACGTATATTGGGTCGGAATTAGCACATTAAGTAATGAATAAAGATAACACGATAAAAAAAGAACACTCACGACCTACACCCGTGTTGATTTATAATCAAAGTCTCACATAATATACATGTACACGGTCTATACCGTCTATTTCTAGAAACCCAATGCTTCGGAGATTAAGGGTAAAACTGAAATAAAATGAAATGGGGTTTAACGGTCTACTGTTGTGCTCCGACTGGGCTAATGGAGACGGGCATAAGCCATATAGTGTGCTACGGGGAAAATTTTTCCGGAATGCGGCACTACGGTCTACTTTTATATCAAATTCTAACTGCCAAGGATCCTTTTACGTGCATACCAATGTATACAAGGGACCTCGTCTTTTCGTCCCATCTGAACGATTATGCGTTATTTCTTGCCAGGCCATCCGTCCTGCACCACTGACAATGGGAACCACACCGGAATATCCCGATGAGAGAGAGAGAAATGGGGTTTAACGTCCACTCGACACAAACTATGTCATTTCGGGACTAACATATGATTCAATTTTATTTCAATAATTCGTTTGCGCGTAGGGGTCTTTAGCAGTGGAAGGAAACCGGACGACCCGGAGAAAACCCACGAGGTTGGACAGGCGACCCTACTCCTTGTCACGTACAACCGGGGAATTGAAACTATGCAAGTTGACTCATTGACAAACCTTATGATACAACACGCACGATCTAACCGTTCGGAAATCCAAAACCCCATTTCCCGATGAGATTATGGGCAACGCAATAAGGCCTGTATAGTTGGGAGATGTACAAGGAAATTAACATTGTTAGCTATACATGGAGAAGTTATATCGGGTGTTTCGATTTCAGACACCGAATCTGAATGGTAACATCAAGGTATTGAGACCAGCAATCATGTTTTATACGAGACTACAAACGTATTGCCTGTGTGAACATTACCCCAGGAGTCTGATGGTTTCTTTCCGTCGAAAGGAATTCTATATTTTCGCTTTTGATTTTTATATGATCCCGAATAAAGGATCCCTGGATAAAGGGTAAAGTACTTTACTAACCATCCTTGGAATCGAACGAAACATTGGTATGGTCAGTACCATGTGTTGTTTCATTATCTGTCTTAGATTTAATTTCATGTCGTGTTTACGGCAATTTCGAGTTTTTGGCTTGAAATATTGGTCAAGTCTCTTTGCAGATTATATCTTGTTCATACAAGCTCAATGTGTCAAAATATTTCAAGGATAAGTTTGTTGTTTATTGTTTGAAATGTCTGCGTGTCCACGGGGTTGTCGTATGTGTTTTGTTTGTGTGTTGGTTGGTCCTGCTGCACTTACTACGAAGAGATCGCAAATAAACAATATAACTTGTAACTTGATTTGGGTGTTGTTTTCGAGTTCTGGTTAATGGCGGTAAACCCAGTATGAATCAGGCCTAGTTCTACAAAATGATTTGTATTGTAACTCCATGGAAAATTCTGGTAACACTGTGTCCCTCATGAATAGATTGATTCCAGAAGATATTTATAAAATTTCAGTACCATACTTTTCTTGGAAGAGTCCGGTGTAGCTTATTTTGGAAATTATTTTGTGCTTGCTGATGATATGTAGAAGAAAGGGTACATATGATATAATAAATTTCATTTTTAGGGAACGTTTGGTTAATGGCTGCTTCAACAAATGGCCATTTTGTAACATAAGATATCTTGTCTAGCTCGTCAAATGTCAATTTTCATTGTTAAGATATAGTTTATATTAAAGTAAAATAAATCTGTAAAGAGGCAATATATTATTATGTAGGTAAAGATCGCCAAATGCTACCTGTAAGTCAATACTTAAATACATGAATATAAATTGGTTGACGTATGAAGTACACCTCATGAGGTCACATGACCTTCAGACAATCACATGTCAATATATTATACATATATATGTGGGTCCTTTATAATGCGCATAGAAAGCACATTTCTAATACGCCGAGGCGTTCAACATGGTAACCTATTGTAGAAGGTTTCAATAGAAAAGTTGACAGCCATTGTATAGAACTTATCACTCTGACAAGCTCTTTCCATTGTACCTATTTCTTTGGAGAAAATATGTCGTTTAACGATATACAAAATGACAAATCGGCCCATAGTAAACAAATTAACATGTCTCTACTTCTCTAGACAAAAACTTTAATATTATTTATTTATTCACACCGATCAGTGATTGCTCTTTTTGTACCGGTGACAATGAACACATAAAAACACAATACCCAATATAGATCTGATCACCAAAGACTCGGTCACAAACAACAACAATGGGCATATATATATCTGTGTTTGATTGCACTCTTACTTTGATTTTAATATAATATCCCTATCTTTAGAATATGGTATCATAGAACTGTACTAGTTAGACGATTTATGATGTATAACGCCATTGTGGTCACGTATCGCATCAGGGGCGGACTGAGGACTTTCTAGAGTATAGCCTGCGTACAAAACCCGATACACTGCAAACCATCAAACTTAAAGTAGCTAAGTCTCATTATCATCCAAAGGCACTGAAAACACGAATCATTTGCCAATTTAAATCAACATTGGTGTTGTGCTCTTACCGGGAAAAGATGGCTTTCTGATATCCAGTATTTAAGACAAAATAAACAGGTTCCCATTGGTACACGAATTGTGTACCATAATGCGTTTCAGTGCTATTTGTAACAAGGGACTCGAAGGCCGAGGCTAGACATATTCCACAAGTCATGTCAAACGGTGACGTCATATTCTTATCTGGAGAGCATGCGCAATAAAAAAATATCGGTGTAGACTGTAATAACCAGACACTAGAGATTGCCATTCGATTGAGACTTCTGGTGAATTTTGCCGAATATAACTGATTAGAAATTACAGTGAAAGCAGAAACGATTGAATGTAAATCAATTTATATACATTCATATAACATTATCATATGCGTTGCGACCTATTTGTGTCAATTTCTAGGTCCCAAATATCAGCGATTTAGCTCTGTTAACATCAACAGGTAATCTTACCAATTCATCATAGTAATCTTACCATTTAAGACAGGCTGTTGGTTTCTCTGGACTAACACATTTTTCATAATGCGGTAACCTTTTACGGTTGGGCTGGGTACCAGGTATCGCTTGGTTTCTTGCCCTCATTAAGTGACATAGCTGATCAAATTAAATACTCTGCCTACAGGTATTCGGTAAAATAAAAAAAACAAATAAATGACCTTTAGAAACCCGTCTCATTGGAGCTCCGAAGTACTTTACTCCAGAAATACAGCCCTTGCAGATTCCATAATATGTTGCTGACCAAAAGTTTAAATTTTTTTATGTTATTCCCAAGTGTTTGGATAGCCGTGTAAACATACTAGGGCTTAGTTATAGTGGAAACTGGTCGTTTCAAATTGTGTGACTTTTTGCAGTTTATATTTCACATTTAATAGGTAGAGAAGAAATTTAACAGAGCATGCTGTCATTCATATCTCTCCACACGCACAAGAACCCCATATTACTATTCATCAGTATACTTCTCTTTCTAAATATCCACCCTTGCCCTGTAGTTGTATGTACTGAGAGACAATATGCGAGGTGAACAGGACCGAAAGGGAAGCCTACAGAGCAAGGGCCGGTTCCCATAGCTTTTTTTTTTAAAACCAAACAGCAAACCTGTCAAACAAAAAGCATTCTTGACAAGCAAACGGCCGGACTCACGCCACTTCCTCGGTGTCTTCAAACCAAGTAAAGACAAGCGACTAGAAGTACGGTAACTCTTCAGGATCAAGAGTGGATAATTCGATGATCAGTATACATTTAGGGGTTCAAGAATTCATATCCGACTGAGTATTACAACAAAACTATGGGGCTAGTGCTTTAGTTTCTCACAATGAAAGGTCTGACGATCTGAATATAAATCATACTCAAGATTATTTTGTGACTTCGTCTTGATGACAATAAACCCTTTACAACAATAATATATAAAAGTCGATTTGGAGAAAGTTAATGATAATATCAACCATCATGACTGACAAATGTGCAGTACCTTAGATTTATTACACACTATAAACAGCGGCTGTACATAAATATACAATATCAAATTATCAGACTTTGGGTTTGAATTATTTGGAACAAGACATACTCATCGTATATTTTATGGAATGAAATAAAAGAGGAAATGAAATGGGGTTTAACGTCCTAATGTGCTACCGTCTACTCTTAATTCAAATTCCAACTATCAAGGGTTCTTTTACCGTACGCCAATTTGATCAAGAAGTCTTGGTATTTTTATCCATACAAACGCCTATGCGTTGTCTTTGTCTTTTATGCGGTATATATATATAGCTTTTTTTTATCTTTGGTCGAAAAAACTACCTAGAATTACATCTAATTAAACAAACTCATTGTGATGCAAATTTCACGAGATTATCCTCATTATTGTACCAAATTGCTGCCTTCAAGCTTCGTTGCACCAAATGAGACTAAACGATCTAGAAATCGTTCACATGTGAACTGAACATTAAGATACATTTTGGGAGATTAGACAAAGAGCTGGTAGTTCTCACTATAATAGTTAAAAACTAGATAATGTAAAGAGAATTTGCTGAAAATTTCAGTCAAATTGATCCCCTCTGAATCGAGATTTTAGAGATTGAATTTTCGACTTAGCCTCGATCATCATTACTAAAGTCGGTACGATAAAAAAAACATAGTCTCGATTATCCATTTCATGATTAAATTTATGAATGGAAGTCGAACAGCCAATCGGAACCTAATCCAATAAACACCGCAGGCTAGCGATGTCATCGAGAGTTGATTATGGTCTGAATAAGTTAATTAATGTCTAATAGACAGATTTAGCTCTTGCATAATGTATGTTTAATAGACATTAGTTTGTGGTTATTTACATAATTCTATATTTAAAAGAATATTCTAAATTGGGTGAACCTTTTCCTGCCTGTATAGTATTCTTGAAAAAAACATTATTTGTCCACAAAAAAACGTATTTGCATTAGTGATCCATATGGTTTATATGAGTTTTAAATGTAAAATGTACACTAAGTTTTTACAATGTAATCAAAAATAAAAATGGCGAAATGATTGTTCTGTCCCTTTCTGTGAATTTCTAAAGCAATCGTTTGTTGAATAAAATGGACACTTTGCATTAAAAATCACCGTCTATTATCTTGTAAATGTGTAATACGGACATGCACAGACTTATACTTTTTATTGAAAGCCGTAATGGCTTTCGTGTTTATTCTTTCAAAAATGAAAAGAACTAATATATGAATATTTTATAGCGAATATTATGTTTTCTATGTCTTTGATAAAGAATGTATTTTTCTGTATAACAAGCTATAAAATATTTGTAAGAGCGTAATAAAATAAACGCGTATGATTCGTTGTTGGCTGTAACACAACTTTTAGTGACATAAAACTTTACGACTAAAACTTCGTATAGTGTTATAAAATACGCATTAAACCTACATAGCATGGGGACGTTTAATTTCAAATCAATATATTTTCATGGCAATTTCTTACAACTTAATTGATAAATTAGCCTTTTGATATAAAAACAATATCTAAGAAAATGTGTTTTCTGCAAAATGGCTATAAAAAAGATGTAGAGCTACACGTACATCGATATAACGTATAAATATAACTATTTGCGCTACGAAATGAAATGGAATGGGGTTTAACGTCCTACTGTTCTGCACCGACTGGGCTAATAAGAGAGAGAGAGAGAGAGAGAGAGAGAGAGAGTGGGGAGAGAGAGATGGTGTTTAACGTCCACTCGACACAAACTAGGTCATTTCGGGACTAACACATGGTTTAATTTTATTTTAATACTTCGCTTGCGCGAAGGGGTCTTTAGCAGTGGGGGGGGGGGGAACTGGAGGACTCGGAGAAAACCCACGAGATGGACAGGCGACCCTACTCCTTGTCACGTACAACCGGGCAATCCAAATCACACCAGTTGACTCAATGACCGACTTTTGATACAGCGCGCACGTGCTAACTATTCGGCCATCCAACCCCCCGCTAGGCTAATGAAGTCGGGAATTTTGCCAGAACAGCGGCGTTTCCGAATACTCTTCATTTAATTCCAACCGTCAACGTGTACATGGGACCTCTGGATTTGGTCCCATCCGAGAGACTAGACACTGTTCTTGTCAGGTTGTCCTCCTTCCTACACCACTGACAAGGGGAAACCACTAAGGAAATGAAGAGGAACTTCCTCGGCCAACACCGAGAAAGAACCCGAGGCCTCCAGCTTAGCGAACCAGCGTCTTACTCACTGAGCCACTGCGGCTCCCTATCGGCAGAAGTAGGATAAAGTAAAAATATCAGAAAGTACAAAAGGTACATAAGTTTTGCATTATTGATTGGTAGTAAAAACATTTGGATATACACACCAAGGTCAAGGTATTGCTTTGTGTTCTTTTTTATGTCAATTGCAAATTTTATATATATATTTAAAGCCCCATTTCTTCTCTTATCTACGGCGCCTACATAAATTCATTATGTTGTTATGCTTTAAATATCAGTCGTTGTTTACTTAATATCCAATCTGTCAAAAATATATCAATCGGTGATTCACATAAATGCATAGGGCGGTAGAAGTGGATAAAGTGGATCCTCGTGGTTTTTTGGCCACGGAATATCCTTTACTTTGAGTTTGACGTCACTTTTTAAATTGGCATATATTAGAAATTGTAAGATGTTTTAAAAGAAAATATGGTTGTATATACCATGTGAAGTAGGAGTTGAAATGGGCCTTTAAACGTATACATAGATTTTTCCAAATATATATTTTACACGCACCAGCTGAACAGGTTTCTACCAGTCAAAATAGAGCTGCAATAAAAACAGGATTTTATAATCTAGATAAGATTTTAACACGTTGTCTTTTTATGGATTCCGTCTCCACAACATCTGTGGATCAAATCAATGATAAGTTTACTGATTTGTTGGTGAAACGATGGACACGTGTTATTGATTCTATAAATCTTAAGGGAAACAGTTCAATATTAAGAGGGAAACATGGTGGCCACCCGACCATGCTTCTTATGTAGGTCACGGCAAGGTTAAGGTCAAATGTGAAAGGTGAAATCAATAGTCATCAGTATGTTGAAAGGGAAAGATTGGGTTATAAATCAGAAGGATATATTAAGTTATAAATACTATATTACTCTTATATTTCATCTCAGATGTTTGTGTATTTTGCGACAACCGTTGATGAGTTTAGCCAATGTCGTTCATTATCGTAAATCGGATCGTTTAAGTAAATAAGTGTTCAGACGGGTTGATTGAAATTGAGGCGAAGATTGGAAATCACCCCACAGTATTACAGAATAACGAAATAAATATATTTCATGTGCCAATGGCACGAACGTTATAGCCTTGTAAGCTTCAAAGATGAATAGTTTTTCCTAGTCGTATAGGTATTAAAAATACTATATAATAGACCCGAGTAGATAACAAATTTGAAATTCCAAGTAAAATACCCTTGTTGATACATTTCAAGGAAATAAGAAGTTTGTTGTGGCCTTGGGATAATAAAACCGACTTTGTGTGGAGTAGTTTAATAGATAAACATGTTACCGTTTTTAAAATGTTCCAAGCAGGACCCTAATTTTGGTACCCTCATATATATGTAATTCAAACTATAAACAATAATAAACCACAAACAACCGCCAAGCACGTGATTAGATTTTTTTTTCTGCGATAAAACAGTATGAAAATAAAAAAACAATGAAAAACTAATTGAAAGTTCTTAATTAATTTTTAAATTAAATATTTTAAATCTGGCATCTAACAAAGCAAACATTCTGTGGTGCCCCCATTACCATGATGTCCTAAGCACGTGCTTATTTTGCTAAAAATGGTTAATCCAGCCGAGGTTAATCCAGCAATGGCCCCAAGTCGCTTCAATACCAAATGGACATAGTAAAATAAAAACTGGTTAATTAAAACTGTTAATAAAATACATGTGGGGGGAGGGGGGTAGGTGGGTAGGACTAGGTACACCCTTGTGCCAATTAAATTCAACATAAGATAAAAAATATATGCAAATACACCAAGGAGAATAGGGTTAGGGTATAAGGCTTACATGATTTCACATTTTAGTTGGACATACGCTTTCTTTTTAGTTGGACACAAATTAATTCATATTTTTGCTTCAATAGAACCGCCCACCCCACCCCAACAAAAACAAGTTCAACAATTCTCCTCCCGTGCTCAGACTTTCTTGATATTATGAATATTTGATGACAATGACCTCAATTCTAAATGGTCTTTTTTCTGGAATGTTAACTACACAAAAGCTAAGCATTTTCGTTGTACGCTGACAATATATGAGTCGCCACATATTTCTTTCATAAATTCTCATATTACAAATCTAGCGTGTAATTTCTCATTTACAAAAACGGTTTACGGTCCTTTAACATGCCGATATATAGATCTAATATTGATACGCCAAATGTACTGCCAAGTCCCAATCTATAAAACTATACAGATAGACAAACCACTTCTCTTATCAATAATCTTGTCTTAGTGCGAGCAAACAAGTAGTTCATTGACTATTTTATTTTTGTCTGTTTGTAAGAGATGTATATATGTGAGAATAAACTAGGGTTTTAATTGTTCCACGCTTTAAGAAGAATATATATTAAACCTATGTAAATATATATGATTGATTCTCTATAAAATGTTCCTACGAAACTTAACTT